CCACCACTGGTTCCTTCTCTTTCTTTGACAATTCAGTGAAACTCCCAAAATGTTGATTTGGTGTTTATCAAAAGTCTTTCCCAAAGTAAGGATACTTTTGCTGAGGTCCATTCTATTTTGACATTGATTTCCACAGTAAGAATGTGTTTCAACATGTTCATGATGTCTAGGTCACTGTTTACTTAATAGAAGCAACAATGAATGTTCTTCAGCTATTTCTTATGACTTTCAGTGGTTGATATCCAAATCTGTTAATCTCTGAAAAATCTAAGACAATGAAAGTAAATGGTTATAATGAAAAGAACACATCTTATTCTTACTGTTCCTTCTGCTTTCTAGTTTTCTAGTCCTCTTTTAATTGGATTCTAATGTTTTTGTGTGACCTCTCTTTCTGATAGCATTAACTTCAACAGGAACCTTCTTGTGACTCCATCCAAAACATTTGCATTTCAATCAAACATTACACTTTCCAACCTCGCACATGCAACTGAGACTAAGGTAAGCATGACTTTCAAACATTCTTCCAGTGTATATTGACTAATTTGGAACTAAAAATAAATTTCTATAGGTAAATTACTTTGAAAAAAGCAATGGACTTTCACCAAAATCTTGTCATGAAGGAGGTAAGAACTTGTTTACAAATGAAGATTTCACTACAAGAGAAGAACTGATGAGCACAATTTCTATTGTTTAAAAGCTATAAACTGTCATTGAAAATAAATGTTAGTGCTTTTTATTTTTTCTAGATCTTGCAGTGATCAAAATAGCCATAATTTCTGTATGATTGCCTTACAATTTTAAGATTATAAAACAAAATTGTGACTGAGGACTAAGTGATTGGATATGCTGACTGACAAAGGTGAGGAAATATTTTATTAATTGACAAATGCTACTATTTAGAAATTATAAGCTATTTGAAGGTCTCCAAAAAAGTTTCTGGGACAATGAATAAACTTTTCAAGCATCTGTTATTAATTGAAATGCTATTTATTTTACTGGTGTTAAGAAAATCGTATGTTCTATTTTTATAATATACTTAACACTCTGATATGGCTTTTCATTATTACAATTCTCCTAGTTGTGAATGTGTGAGAAAATGGTAGTTAGGGCAAGAACACTTTATAATCCACTCAATTTACTTTTAGCCCAAATCATGTAGTCCTTAACCGTGTTGGTGTATGCTGAATAAAGTGTTATGCATGGCAGTGTATGATTTTGTGGGAAAGTGTCTAGAAGGTAGTTTCTACAGTAGCTGTCCCTAATTTTAAAGTGATTGACTAGAGAAAAGGCAACTAGCCAACACCACTCGCTGCCAAGTAATGGGTTGCTCTAATTGAATATTGGAATTTGACCATCATTCTTAAAATGCACCCATGACCCCAAAGTGCAGAGCATGATCTTTTTTGGTGGTGATGGGGTTTGAACCATGGGAATACATATCCAGTTTGGCATGTTAGACACTTGGCCATGTTTTCTCCTATCTGTTCCATTTCATTGCAATTTGAGTTAACATTCATATACCCAGAAAATCAGTATAGATCTTAGTATCACTTTTGTATTCTTTAGATTTGTCCTTTTTGTATGTGTTAGCTTTAAGATCTCAGGGTGCATGATGTAGATTGCTGTATATGAATCAGATCTGTATGGCATACTAAACACATTACTGTCGGGCCAAAAAAGGCTTTTTTACAATACTCCTGAGGCACAGCTGTTATCAGTTTGCAATGAGCTGTAACTAATAGGGTGTTGTCATCCACCCTTAACTACTTAGCCATTATTGGCCTTCACAGTTTTATCAGTATTGATGTTTGTGTCCTATAAAAAGAAGTCCATGAAATTCCATTTTAACCTCCAGGATTCACAATATATAACAGATTTACATAATTAGTCTTTATTTTTATAAAAAGTTAAAAACTGTTCAAATGAAATTCAAATAACTACCATTTATAATCCAACAACCAGTACATAAGTAATGTGCAAATGTCACAAGGATTTTGATATGCATGAAAAATAAGGTACTAAAGTATTTGCTTTTGTTGTATAATGTGTAGTATCTAAGTATCTTCCCTGAATCATGTGTCACAAAATAACTCTAGAATGGAGTAATTAGCAAATACCTGTTCATATAAAATTAACAGGTACATGTCATAACATGTTAGTATGCAAGAGACTAACCTTGATTTCAATCAATAAGGATGAAGGTATCGATTTTGATTGAGGAAAAATGGATGTAATATACTTTAAAACAAGACGCTTGGTATCTGCAAGACAAATAATGGAGTGCACATTAGATTCTTTATATTATAAACAAAAGTTCTTTTCTTTTTTCCTTAATATCATTATACTTTTACTAGAAAGTGGTATCATTGCATGAAATGGTTCTAATTTTAAAGCTCAAACATTTATAAACATTAATACTTTTGCTACCTGACCTGGAATAGTAAACATGTTTTTTTGAGGAACATTTGATATATGTATACTCAGATTTTAGGTTTTAAAAACAGAAAAAAACAACAATAAACTACTAAAACAAGTACATTAACAGTGTATTATCAAGAGGGTAGAGGGTTAAATCAACTAAATAACAAACTGAAAGGGTTAATAAATACTCAAGATTTATGGTTATTCTAAATTTCATTAATCTTTTTTAGTAACTATATAGTACTTTTTTAAACATATCATGGTAATATTGCTTTTCATATAAATGTATTGAGATTCTATAATTATACCTGAATCGAGAGCTTTCTTACGGTGTATTGTTTACAAATTTCTCTAATTCACTAATTGTTTTATCAGTGAGGTGTGTAACACCCATTATTTCCACCAAACATTTGTCACTTTGAGGAAGGACGGCTAACATCCCTTTCTGATGCAAAATATTCTTACACTCAGATCAGGAAGATGTGTTCAGATCAAGGATTTAGAATTTTCACAACAGGGATATCCATTGTACTTGGTGACATTTGGAAAACAAAAATATGGATTAACCTTGGGAACCAGGACCATACAGAAAGACCTGCAACAAGTTGTACTCTAGCAGGGGGTAAGTTAAATGTGGCACCTTGTAACAGGTGAACACAAAGGTCAGTGGCAAAATCCATTCACATATCCTAAGTAACCTTTGTAGAATCTTCCTTCAACTGAAACAGTGTGAATTCACTTTATAATATTTTGAAAATAGCTTTACCTTTGGTTAGATTTAATACAGATTTAGATTGCTAGTTCTTTAAGTGTGAAAAACATAAAACTGTCAACTTTTTCTGTTTTCCAGCAAAATTCCATTAATACTTAAATTATATTGTTTCTATTATTGCACAGTTGTAGTGTAATGACTGAAATAGCCAAGAATTTGCCATTTCCTAGCTAGAATAGAATATCTTTATTTGTGTATTTTTTTTTCTAAATTTCCAAACATATGCTACATAGCTAAAAGCTACATACTGCAAATTTTTACTTCAAGTCTTAAGCTAAAGGGTATGTGTTTTTGTATAGATTTCTTGGAATGTAGTCAGTTCATTCAAACAGTATGAAACCTGTATAATTGGCTTAGCTTAAGACTGTCTGTAAACTGCTGGTTGAATTTTGTAACATGTTAACCTGTGAGATACTTTCTTTGTTTTGCCAAGATAATTAAGTTGGGAATTTCCATAGTTCTGACTCTTGGTTTTGCTTAAACCCCAGCAGCCAGGTGATGCAGAAGAAGAACCCAGGCCAGTTTTAATGATATAACACTATTTGTTAATAATTTTGATGTTGAAAACTACTTTTGTGTTTGCTCATATTCCCCAACTGTTTGTGTTCCTGAACCTGCATTTTGTGTTGTCTTTTCTGCTGGATATCAGTTGACCTAAATACCACAGTGATTCAAACAACCTTTCACTGTGCCTGAGGCCCAGTAATTACAAAATTATTGATATAGAAAGAAAAGGTGTCTATATATCTATCAGATTTAGGATGGCTTCCAATAACAAAACACTGATTAATTGATTACATACAGTCCTTTTTTATTTCTGAACAAATTTATTTGGTCAACACTAAATATTTAACACAACATTTTTTTTGTGTCAGTTTTCTTTCTGCATTTTATGGAAATAGGTATCTTAATAAAAAAAAAATTTATATGAAAGAGGTGTTTTAGTAAAAGTCTTTACTTTGTTATAAGATGTAACTTTAACTAGAATTTAAGTTTTGAAGTGTGAATATATTATCTAAAATATTAAAATGATCTGCATATTATTTTGTGGCAGCTTGTAAGAAATTGTGATTATTAATAGAAAAACTTTCTATATCATAAATCTATCGCGTAAATATTTTCTCATTGGGATATGTGATCTCTACTGAATCACTTAGCTTTTTGTGTTCCATTAAATCATGATTAACATTAGTGAAATAAAACTTTTTTTCATTCCGTTTATTTTATAATATGCAAATTAAATTATTTGCAAACAGTGTTATATATATAATATAATACTTGTACACAAGATGGCCAAGGAATAGTTACTGCTACTGAATGTCAAATGCAAGCTGTTATGCTATCATATATACTTTATAATTTTATTTAATCTATTTTCCTATTACTCCAGATTAAGTCAACTAACTCTAAGAAACATTATGGAAACACTCTTTTCTCAGCCTTTTATTGTTATTTCCACAATTCAAAGTTTTTAGTACATAAGATATTTTTGGTTATATTTCAGTTTCACTTTAATTTAGATTTTGTTTTTACAATGGAATGGAGAAAGCTTAATGAGGCTGTAGAAATTACATCATTAACATTATTCATTACAGAGTAGAATTTTCTACTCTGATACTCAAAATTTGGTTTATTAATATACTTAAGTTTTTAAAGTATGGTTGTGATGTTTGAATTAACATTCTGCTACAATATACATTTACCTGGAATCAAATAAATTTTAGCTATTGAGTTTTCGGTATTGCTTGTTTTCTTTATAATAATATACAAAGAATTTTAGCTGTACTTCTGCTTTGTTTTTAAAAACTTTTTCAACTGAATACTTATTGTGGCTCTTTTAATGAACTTTTAGTATAATACTATGTTTTTCAAACAAACAAACCTTTCATGTACCAAGTAATTAATTATATCCTGACTCAGTTATTACTAGATGCTTTAAGGAAAACATTTAATGAAAAAATTATGTAAAACTTGTTGTGATGGGTTTTTGGATCATTATTTGACCTTGTTAAAAAAAAAAGTGGGAAGCCTTATGACATTAAGAGAGACATTTACTGGATTTTTTTGTCCTACCAGGGGTGGGGGTGAGGAAATGGGCAGAATCTCTATGCAGTTAATTGGTGTAAGTTTTTGTGAAATAATTCAAAACAAAAGTAAAACATTTACATATTTTAAATATGAAAATACATTAGGTATAAAGTTGAATATCCCTAAGTTATTTGAATATCTGATATTAAAGCACTTTGAACAAAAATAATTTCAACAAATTTACTTGCTGCATACATTATGTAAAAACATTCAGAATAAAAACACTTGAGTCTCAGCTTTGAATTGATAGATACCTTTGGTATATGACTTGTGTGAAATACTGATGGGAAAACTTGTATAAAATAGTTCATAACAAATTTATGGGTAACTTATGGAAACTTCTTCGAACAAAATAACAGGTAACCTAAAAAGAAATAATCCATAATAAGTAATGGATGAATAACACAAGTGAGACGATTCAGAACAAGCTGATAGATAATAAAGTAAAACTAACGCTCGCAGAACATTTGCGGTCAAATTAATATATTTATTGCAATAGTGCTTCTACAAATATAGGACTTATAGAATACAGTAATACAAAATAATTCTAATCACAGACACCGAAATCTAAAAGCCCACTGGTCTTAGGCCTAACATTAGTTAAGCCTTTATTAATTAATATTAATGTTCAATAAAGAGATAAATTAACACCGTAATTTGTATACGTTTTTAGCTGAAGCATATCGATTCATAGAAAGGCTGGTTTTTATTTGTTTTTCGTACAAACTTTTAGCACATAGCTACGTCATGTCTTGACTGATTTGAGATCTAATTACAGTTCTGGTCCCTGGAGGTCAAACCCTTTCGAATGATATATTTGACAATGCCCAAGGTCTCGTATATTAATTTACTCTAATCCTGCCTAAAACAATTTCAATTCAAGTGTAGGCAGGTAGAGATCCTGATAAGTAATAAAATCGAATCACATATACGCGCGCCCCACGTTTGGTATTGCTGGCGCACAAAAATAAAGCTAATAAAAAAGGAGGAAAAATCCTGTCTAGAAGAATTTCAAGTGCCGCAGCTATTGAGGGTTCCCACTTGTTTAGTTTAGTTAGGGCTAAACTTTACTATACTTAATACTATCATTAGATAAACTTGTACCATTGTTCTATGACCTAATGTTAGACCTCATTAAAAACGTATCAACGTTTTTAAAGTGTTGTACAAAATGTCTAAAGTATATTTAGGTGCTCGCACATTTTCAGGAGAGACAAAAGCTGAGTATTATTGTAATAGATTATTCTAAACAATAAGCTGATAATGTGTGAAATGTTTAGAATATTTTATAATTAGAACAATTCAGAACATTCTGATAACACAAGTTAAACAGAGCAATAAAAAAAGATTGGTAACGAATGACCATAAATCAGAATAAGAAACATTGGCAATGGATACTATGTTAGATGTCTTTGGAACTTTATATAGGTACCAAAGTTTTAATGAAATTAGTTATGATTTAATTATTCAAGTTGAGTACCGTTTTTATACTGAATGATTGTTCAAATATTTTCTTAATATTTAAAGCTTAATGTATTAGCACCGTCTTCTGTACAATGGAAGTTATTCAAAGTTCTTAAATGATTGGAATGTAGCTATATTATTAAATGTCATTTTATTAAAATTGTGCCCTATTTTTAAAATGTGGTCAAAACATTTATCTTAAATGATAGAGATTAAGAGTTAAGAAGAGGAAAGAACTGAAAAAGATTACTATTTCTATAAGAAAAAAAAACACAAACTAAGAATCATCTGCAATTATGTGTTTGAAATCCGAAGTAAATCTTCTTATTCAAAACATATGTTTGCTTTTCAAATTACAAAGTTAGTACTTTAGAAAATAGTTTTGTAAGTATTTTCTCTTCTAAGAATATCATTGGGGAGCAAAAAATATGTTGCGTGAAACTTTATGTGTTATCTCTTTCCACAGCGACAGTTATTAAACTTAAGGGAAGGCTATATTTACGGAAAGTTTTAATGCATGATAAGGAAGGGAAGCGTTCCTTAAACATAAGCTAATCAATAACAAGAAAATGTTAGCTAACAAAGTAAAATATTTGAATTAGTGACTAACTTCTTTGCTGGCAAGGAATAACTTACATTCTATAAGGTTACTCTAATTAACAAAAATTCATTATATGGTTTGACTAAAATGTTTTTTAGTTTTTTTACGTTTTTATATCAGTTTTCATACAAATGTGTTGTATAATATTTTAATATATTCTGTTTACGGTATCGTCCAGCTTTAGTAGAGATCATTTCAAGAGGCGTGGTCAAGTGGTTAACACTCTTGGACTGTGAAATCGAGTAATCATGGTTCGTGACCCGATGCCACAAAATCATGCTCCACATTTGGAGGCTGTGGGTGTCTCATAAGAGTGACGGTCAAATGCCTCTTCATACACAAAAGTTGGCGGTGGATGCTGTTGACGAGTTCCTTACCTCCAGCCTATCATTTCGAAATTAGGTATGCCTATGCACAGACAGCCCTTTGTGTAGTTTTGCGTGAAAATTCTAAAAACAAACATAAACAAATTTTCCTGCTTCTTATGAGAAACAGACTTAAAAAAGAGGAAAAAAGTCAGACTTGGCATATAGCACAAGCTAATACGTAATTCTTCAGTTCGGTGCTAACCTAAGATAAGATGGATTCATGTTTGAGTATCTGTTTATCTGTACTTTCATGGATTATTATCATACTTGAATCATTGGAGTAAACCTTAAGTACGAAAGCTGTGGTTTCGTTTACTAGTTTCTGTGTTTTGTTATTGAGCATAAAACTCTAAATTGGCTAACTGTTCTCTGCCCGCCTCGGGTATCGAAACCCGATTCCTAGCATTATAAGCTCAGAGTTACCACTGAGCCTCATGAGGGGGAGGCAGTCTCCGTCACTTTTTTATCATTTTACCCATTTCTCTGGTAATCTTACAGCTTGATATTTCTCTGACTAGTTTTGTTCTTCTATTTGTTACTGTATCTTTATATAATATATTTTCTTGATTCTCCTCACACGTGTGTATTTTTTTATTCGTCGTTTTAGTTGCTTGATCACATCGATTTCCTGATAAGTTTTGGAGTGAATGAGTTTTTGAGGGTGATATATGTTCATAAGATCATATTAAGAGTAAAGAAAATTATAAATCTTCTTGGAAGTTTTCAAAGTTTACTGAAAGCCGCGCTTCTTCTTGTCTTATTAGACAAATTTGTTTTGCTTTATGAGTGTCTTTTGTTAAAGCTCATTATAAAAACTGAAATTTTACGTTCATTACACACACACACACACAAAAAATCTGAAATGTAGGACCGAAGAGATTCACCGCGAAACTATTGCACTAAGTCACATTATTGATGAACTGTTATTTGCGTAAGGAGCACAAAAGGTCTTCATAGTTTGAACTATGCATTTTTTTTCTTCAAACAAGTTGACATGCCTGAGAAAACACGAGTCTTTTCAAATCGCGCTTACAAAAATTTTCCATCAAATTCCAATAAAAGGAATTGAGAAGTGATATCCCCATGGGAGAGGCAGACCATCGCTTAGCTTTTCTAGTTATATCTAAGTAAAACATTTTCTCTGCATTATCAAGCGTGGCGGAAACATATGTATGGTTTTATCCAGGTTGATTTTGATGTATTAATGGAATAGATCGAATCTCTTCTACATTGCTGTAATATCTCCAGAAAACACAGGAATAACATCCTTTCAATTAATAATCGGTACTTTTTAGTTTCTAAGGGACAGTAACTAAACAGTGGCTTACAAGAAATGTTGCTTGAGATTCTGAAAGTCTTTTGGTTTTCTTTATTTTTCTCTTCTAAGAACAGAAATGTGATAGGAATGACAACACCCCGCGTGTTTTTTTCCCCTTTCATACAACTATTATACCGCCCAAGCTATACACAACCAGCACGTAAGCTTAGCACAAATAAACAGGCTGTGGATGAAGCTAGAAATTATCCGTTGACTTCTACTGTGTACAGTCTGTTCAACAATAGAATTAGAACAAATTTAACACGTCCCTCAGGAGCCAAGGGGTGTCTTTAGACTACAATTTGTTAAATATGAAAAGTAAGTTCAATCTGGAAACTCCTAAAGAGGGTGATTTTGGACGTATCTTTTCCAGATAACTTCGAGACAAGTTTTCGTTTGTTAATTGATAATTTTTTAAGTGCAATACAGTGTCCTCAAGTCTCCATACTAGCTAAGTACCAAGGTCTATCTGCTGGGAGTAAATTCAGTATATATCAATAAATCCACATTCTCAGCATCATTAATTAAACAATTGCCAACCTTTTATGCTTCTGCTATCACCTTTTTATGTTTAGTTTTCAACTGAGATACGAACGATTTTACCTGCGATTGGGTAAGGAAGATCGAAGCATCACGATAGTTAGTAGTAGGATGAGCAGACAGGAATACTTTGAAAGCAGTTACAGGCTTCCTGCATAATAACTACCAAGGTGGTTCTAAACGGTTCCTGGATACCTTTGCGTGTCATTTGGAGACTTCCATGCTTCTTGTGCTTGGCTGTTAAGCTCGTGATGCGCTGACGGATTTCAGTCACCTTACCACTTCAGACGGATTTCAGTCACATTACCACTTCAGACGGATTTC